GTTCGCTTGGGCTTGTATTTGCCTGTGTAATACTCGACGAACAACTCCGTCGCCTCAGCAGGGCAGTTTTCAATCAGTACCCTGGCATACTTTTGCATGCTCGAATAGGCCTGTAGGAATGATCAGCACGGAGCTATCCAAGTAATCAAGACATTGGGCTTCGCGTGTAACTTACCACTTCGGGGTCTTGGTGCCAGATGAAATCAAGTGCCTCTGGGTAGCTTTTAGCGTCCTCGATTAAAATGTCCACGACAAGATCTGTCTCGCCATGTCTTCTAGCGAGGTATGCTGCTTGCTCGTAGTATCCGCCTTGGCGACACATGGCAATGGCTGTATCCAGGTCGAATTTGAGGTCACCGGGAGACTTGATAAATTTCTCAAGCTTGTCGATATCCTTCAGCTTCGCATAGCAGTTGAGTAGCAGGGTGGTGTGGTCAGCCGTCGCTTTTCTGTGCTCGTGTAATTGCTCTAGATATTGAATGAGGTTTTGTATCCGTTGGCTGTCGAGAAACTATTCTCTCTGTAAGTGCACGCTCCGCTGTCAAGCATTTATGAAACTCGCCCACCTTTCGAATAACCTGTGATGGCTCCGTTGTGTCAATGGCTCGGATATACTGGACCATGGCACCATCAAAGTCGGCTTTCGAGTACAGGTGGTCACCAAACTTGCGGTAGATCAGGCTTTGCTGGTTCGCATCAAGACCCGAGTTCTGTGCAAGTTCAATGGCCAACGGGTACATATTGCGCTGGTAAAGCATCTCCAGACGCTGCTGGAGGGTCCTTTCGTGATAGCGGTAGATCTGCCCAGTGTCAGCCAGTGAAACCTACGCGAGCCCTCCTTGAGGTGTTGTCACCTTTCCGTCTTCACTCAGCGAGTACAAATCTCCCCACACCTGAAAGGCAAACCGAGCAGGAGAGATCAGGGTCTCCGTGTGGGCAATGATTCGTAGGTCCGTCTCTAACAAAACAAAGGTTGAAGCATTGAACAGCGCATCGGTCGCCCCGCCACCGAAACGCCGCCTCATGCTATCTGGATCCCGTCCGTTGGTGCTTGATGGAGGACAGGATAGCGCGATATACTCCTGGAAAGTCGTCACAAACTTCTTTGGCGCCTCGTACGCCTTTGGAGGTCCCCGACCGTCCAAATTGTAGGTGTAGATCGCATCGTCCCGGGCCACCACAACATCCCCGGTCCTCTCGTCGAGCGTCATACATTCCCATGCGCACCCCACATCCTCCACGGTTTTGGGCGGGAGGCCATGGCCCCTACTGGAGAGTCCGAGCTTGATGATTCTCGACGTCGTCGACACGAACAGGGTTGAGAGCTTTTCGTCGGCGAGGAGTTGGACATTGGTGACGGGTTCTTCCGACTCATAGACGATGCGCTGCTTGCTTCCCAGGTCGCGGACGAGGTCACCGCGGATCACAGTCACCGCACCGTTTGCGAACCCGACAGCAATCTGTGTAAGGTCCGCCGTAGCCGTGAACGCCGAGATCTAGCTTCGAGTTAGCACAATCCCAAACTTCGGTGCAAGGTCGGTGCATGCGGCCTACGGGAAATCGCCGTCTCGCATTGCTTATGTGTACGGTGCTCAGGCACGTCGGCATGTTCGTCTTCTTCACAAGCTTGTCGAGCGCCCAGACCTTGAGCACGGGGTCGTTGATTAGGTCCTCCTACACAACCAAACTGTCAGCCACCTCTGAAGATCAATATATGCGTACAGCTTGGGCGCAAGACCCAGGGCTTCTCGTGCTCACCGAGACGCTGACGAGCAAGCTGGTGCCCTCGACCTGGCGCATATGCTTGATCTCGGCATCGTGCGCCTGGAAGCTCCGCACGACCTTCCAGGCCTTGCTGATGATACTAATCGTTCCGTCCCGCGATCCGAGGAATAGGCTGTCGGAGCCCGTGCAGACGCTCGAGACATCGCCGCTCTCAAAGACCTCTTTCGCATCGTCGTAGGGAGTGACTTGGGCGACTTCGAAGAAGTCAAATGACTTCCACTGTTATCCGGGGCACAGTTAGTTACGGAGCCGTTGCGGCCTCTCGAGGAAGCTAGGTCGGAAATATTGGAGATTTTGCATACCGATATTGCCATGCTGCTGCATTCTGTAGTGGACGGATATGTGTTGCTGTCAAGGCACGGAGCTGAGCTGGAGGCGGGCGATGACGATGGTCCAGTTCAGGTGGCAGCTCCGTAGCCGATGGGGCAAATGGCCGCCTAGCCAATTGCGTGTGGCGGGCCTGGACCTGCAGATATTCACCACCCCTGTAGCACCACAGCTCCATCAACCTCGACACGGAATTGGGATAGAACCTCCTGGATAAGTCATGTGGTTATTGTATACATGTACTATGGACTATGGAACTCAAGCTGATAGGGATAATTTGTTCTCAGCCCCAATCACTCAGATATCAGGTACCATCATCCCGGAGACAACAAATGGATCCTTTTATTACTGTTTATAAAGCTGTGTCTAGACCAAAAGAATCCCTCAATAAATTCATGTCTGCCTCGCTCATAGACTGACATGTACGTACGCTAAGGAAAAAAGTAAAAGAGGGTATCATGCACCTGATAGCCGAGAAGCAGCTTCCTCCCTCCCAACCCATTATCGTGGTCCCTGAGCAAAACGGCCAGCGTCCGCTGCTTCATATTAAAAAAAAAACGTACCAATCGCCCACCTTCGGGCGCTCCCAAATTTCCATACATTGATTGACTGAAACAAACGAAACGTGCATGCATACAGTGGGCTTATGCCGGCCCAGTTAAGGTGTCGAAGCTTTATTTTCCTTGGGGGAAGGTCCGCCGGCATCCTCCTTGTCATTCTCGTCAAACTTCTCGTTGGGGAGCTGGCTGACCAGGGGACTGTTCAATGAGGTAGTACCTCCTGGCGTAGTGACACTGTCGGTTCGGACATGGCTTGGGCGAGCGCTTCTGACACTGGCTGCATCCCCTTGCTTTGCATAAAAGCTGTTCCTATCACCAGCTACGGCAGAGTAGATGCTGCTGCGCTCAGCACCCAAGCGCGAGCCGCTCGCTTGCAGGCCTGGGGCGGTTCCAGACTCGATGTTGGCACTGAGAACACTCAGTGGCAGGCTCTCCCGACTACCTCCCCAGACTGACGACGGTGCAAGGGCTCGAACAGACGCATCGGTATCCATCGATCGACGACGACGCCTCTTGCTAGATGACGCGAGAGTCAAGATGGATGCATTGTCGGTCAGCAGCCCGTTTGCAGTTGCTGCCGTGTATGTGTTGGGCATGCCAGATGGTGCCAGGTGGGCCGGGATTGCGGATGCGGGTAGGTTGGTTGGGAATGGTTGGCTGAACTGAACAGATTGTACGTTGTTGGCCAAGGCGTCCGTCCCGTTGTGAGCGCCGTTGGGCACCAAAGTAGACTGAATGGTTGTCAACGTGGTCGTCAAGGATCTCACAGAGGGAGCCGGGCTGGAAAAGGTGCTGTCACCGCCTCTTCGAGAATCTACTCCTCCTCCAACAGTTCGGCCGGTGCCTGCCACGGAGCTTGCCCCATGGCTGGGCGCAGTTGTAGAGCCCTCGTGTTCGGTTGACACAGTCCCCGCGACACTCCTGCCGCCGACGGTTCTCCGTTCGGTATGATAGGCGCTGTCGTTTGTCTGCTCCAGGGTGATGTGACTTCCGGTCTGAGGGGTCGAGAGGGACGCGGCACTCTCTTCAGCCGTATGTTCGACGCCAACCCTGCCGGATTCGGGATAAGGGTTGTTGAGCTTGCTGCCCTGCTTCTTCTTGCCATTGCGGCGCGGGCGGTCCCCATCCGATGAGGATTTGAAATTGGCTAGCTTCTTCACCCAGTTTGAGAAGGGCCTTCGGCGGTGAGCCTGGCGCTCTGCTATTTGTCAGTTTACATCACCCAATGCGCGCGAATGGCTCCTGGTGTAGTGGGCGGTGGGTTGGCGATGGAAGACCGCCCACTACAGAGGCCCGGAGGCGACTGAAAGGTCGCCTTGAAGGACAGAACGCACCTTGAGGAGCAGGGAGAATATCAGTCGTCGCCATGAGTAAGGTTGAGAATGGGTGGGGTGGGATGTGTAGGATTGCAGTTGGTGTGCTGCCACTTGGTTCTGGTTAACGTCGAGGGTCGTCGGAGGGGCGCAATCCGGACGGTCGGTGAGGGCGGATGGGGAGGACTATAGCGACAGTGAAAAGAGAAGTCGAGATGGTAAGGAAAGAAGTCTACAGAAAAGGAGATGACGGGACGTCAGGAGAGCAACAGATTGATGTTGGACGGATTCGGGTAGAGTCAGGTTGTTAATTGAGGGCGGCGGAGCAAGCAGGGTGGGCATCCTTCCTTCATGGGGGTGGATCGGCTCAGAATCAGTCATCCATCCATGGAACCTGAAGCTGTGCCACCCAGGTAACTTCAATTATTAGCTTGTAGGCGCCCAATAAGGCACCCACCTCCCTACGGGCCTGACAGGCGCCGCTGCTGTGGCCCGAGATGGGACTGATGGGCCCTGGCAGATCGGCTCCACAGCGCAGGTCGGCGGCGCTCGCCCACTGAAACCGGACATACCGCCAGCTCAGGTACCGCCCTACAGCTGGTTACAGGAGGCAAGCGACGTTCCAGCATATGCCCACCACCCAGTCAGAGAGCCGCATTGTTTCACGTGATGTCTAAGACTGGCACTCATTGCAGAAAATGGGAAGGAGCATGAAACTTAATCGGCAGCGTCCACCAGAGTCTCTTTTGATGCCGATCTGAGTGAGGGGAAGGACCTTGTCCGCCTGCTACCTTATTACATGAGCTGCACTGGCCATGACTGCTGTTAGCGAGCGTCTCCATACGAAAAGAAGCTCAGCGCCAAGACCTGCTGGACCCCAGAAGGCTGCATCCGCGGACGACGGGACGTCATTGCTCGCTCCAGTCCCACGTTCGGCAGCCCTTTTCCCGACCGCCCAGCCCCCCTTTAGCTGTGCCACCAACCACAGCTCATCCGTCATGATCTTCAGCTGGCCATGTCCATCAGGCAGCTCCCGGACCATGTCGTCGACAAGATCAGGTCTTCCATCGTCATCACATCCCTGAACGGTGTCGTAGCTGGTCTCCTCAAGAACTCTCTTGATGCCGGCGCCACCAAAGTGAATATTACTGTGGACTTTACTAGGGGTAACTGCACGGTAGAGGACAATGGGTCAGGGATACCTCCTTCTGAGTTTGAGAGCAGCGGAGGGCTAGCAAAGCCGCATCGTAAGTTGATGTCTTGTTTGAATCCATTGCGCTTGGCGGACTTGCTTGTTGACCTATATTCTAGACACCTCCAGGTTTCCGCCAGATGAACATGTCTATGGAAAGCATGGTGATTTCCTTGCTTCATTGGCCACGGTTTCCTTGCTCCTTGTGTCGTCCTGCCATCGACATCATGTGTCTCAAAACTCGCGGATGATTCACAACTCTAAGCCAATCACGAGGCACACTCCGGCTCCTCCCGAGCACAGAATTCAAACTTTCGATCATGGCACCCGCGTATTGGTTCGCGATCTATTTGGCTCGATGCCAGTGAGGGTAAAGCATCGAGCTATCCTGTTCTCTGAGCGTCAGAATGTGGATAAGCACTGGTGGCAGCTTGTCCACGATATCGTCGCCATCCTTATTTCATACCCCGCTGGTATTTCTCTGTCTCTGAAAGACCTCACAGTACAGAGAGAGCTACGGTTGAGATCTACAGATGCGCCCGACATCGTCATTAGAGCGTCTAGGATTATTTCCCAAGCATTTCTTTCTGATTCTAGAGATGGCGGTTGGATTTCCATCTCAGGCTCTGCTGGGTCCGTGACGCTCAACGGTTGCATTTCCACTCGACCTGCCGCAACACGTCGTTGTCAGTTTATCAGCCTTGGTATCGAACCTGTGGACAACACAGAGGATGCAAACATTATGTATGAGGAAGTCAACAAGGTCTTCAAAAACTCTGATTTTGGTGTTGCGATGATAGAGAACCTAGATCCAAGGGACCCTGCATCTGCTGTTACCCAGTCGAATAGCAGAAAAGGCATAGAACGTTGGCCAATGTTCTTCTTCCAGCTTCGGAGCCGGTCGCCTGGCGAGTTGCCGGATGTTGATACTCTATTTGACAACGAACATCGAGATCTTAAATCCATCCTTGACCTTGTCAAGGCGGTTAGCTACGGCTTTTTAAAAAAGCATAATTATCGCCCGGGAAAGATTAAGATGGCAGGCAAAGACTCGGCGAATTCAACCAGGAAAATTTTAGGTGCGTCGAAACTGAGTATACGGGGGCGGAAGCAATCAACAGCTGGGGGGAGCGTACGCTCGGCTTCTCAAGGAGCTGCACCCAATATTGGCCGTAGTAGCCCATTTGATGGCTGGCACCGCATCAAGGTTGGCCACGCAGCGAAAGGTGGCGGGAAGGAGTACCAGGCAGACACGCCTGACCCTAAAATCTCCAGCAACAATCAAGTAACACCACTGATATCCTCAGAGGGCCGATTACTGCGCAAACCTTTTGAAGAACCAGAGACGGCCCCTGGGAGCGGGGACGCCGTGGAGAGCAACTACTTTAAGGATGTACCTGTAGGCGGCCTTTCACCTTATTCCTCGCTCCAATCTGAACTTGAAACGTCCAGGGACACTTCTTCCGAGAACAGCAAGGACGAATCGTGGTTGAAAGGTGTGTTGGAGTCGTGGGAAAACCCGGTGTTTGAAAGCGCCCCGACATTCATTCCACGAGCATATAATGATAGCCCAATTGAAGTCCGAGAAGACGGTGTCCTTTCAAAACACTTTTCTAGGGCTGGTCGAGCAGACGAGATCATGCTCGAGTCATCATCCATAAGCCTCGCGGGGCGAGTTTCAAAGCTGGCCCTTCAGGAAGCTGAGATTATCTCACAAGTTGATGGGAAGTTTATTCTCGTCAAGCTACCTCTTGAAAACGCCAGTGGCGAAAGCCGCAAGCTGGGCTCCTCGGCCCTGGTCATGCTGGACCAGCACGCGGTGGATGAGCGGTGTCAGTTGGAAAACCTAATGGCTGATTTCTTTGTCCTTTCCAGTCGCGCTTGCGATGTTCTCGAGGCAAAAACTGAGACGTTGGACACTCCGTTACTTTTTGAGATCTCAAAGGAGGAAGGCCAGATGCTGGCACAGAATGTTGCCTATTTCTCGGCGTGGGGCATCAACATAGACATGGAGCCAGATGCCGGCGCAAGGACAGTTGATGGTGGTCAGGTCCGGGAAGATTTAGCCTTTATGGCTGTTACTTCGCTCCCGCCCAGCATAATAGCTCGTTGCCGTTCAGAGCCTCGCCTCATCATTGATTTGTTACGAAAGGAGAGCTGGGATCGGGTTGAGCGTAGCCAGTCCGCCCTTCCAACGTTCTCTCGATCCAGCACGGGGAGTAATCTTATCAGCAACTTTCACGGTTGCCCCAGAGGTATTCTCGAGCTCCTCCACTCCAGGTCGTGTCGCAGCGCCATCATGTTTAATGATGTGCTGTCCCAAGGAGAGTGTACAGCACTTGTCAAGAGGCTTTCTCGGTGCGCATTTCCATTCCAGTGCGCGCATGGGCGGCCAAGCATGGCACCCTTAATAGATCTCGGTATCGATAGCAAGGTCGGTGGGTGGTACAGCGACAAACGGATGATGAAGATGTCAACCTGGGCGGAGTATCAAGAGAATTGATTCACTTCCAACGCAGCTGTCTGGATGGATAATTCCATGTGATGTTATTCGTAGTGTCACAATAACTACCAGTACATACTTCTGTTTCATATACATCAGGTTCCATATGGCAGCATTCCGACAAGGGTATCTGGGCTCTCCAACGTCACTTTGGGGGAAAAACAAGATGCTAGCAGGGGTTCTCGTCACAGAATCAAGAAAAATATGGAATATAGCATGGACTCCTGAGAAATCCAACGATGCAATGCAATTGTATGAGTCAAAAAGACCCTTCTAGCCGCCATCGAACGCCTTTCAAATGCAAATCACTCCCAACTCCGGGCTATGAGCTTTTTGTTTTGGTCCGACTGTACAAGTCCCACCTGAGACGACATAAGGGAAAAAGAAAAAACAGAAAAGGAAAAATTCTAGAAACAATGGTCGGCCGTTAGATTTTTGTGAAGTTGTTGCCGTGAGATCGAGTGACGTGACGAGTCTCGGGGCGACAAAGCTCATGATCCAGTTTGTTTTGCAGGGCAGCGGATCAAGACACCTGCTCTTGCTCTTGTTCTTCTTCTTGTAGCGCGAGGTCCTGCGCTTTCAGCTCCTTGGCTTGATCTTTGCGTTCATTCTCCTCGTCCTGGGACATGAGGATCCATTGTTTGGTCTGGGCTTCCCAACGATGACTGCAAAGGTTTTCGTGTCAGTAAAAGGTTCTGGATAGGGAATTTTCACGAGAGTCGTTAACAACTTACTGCTCCCACTCCTCGGCGACGATGCTCTTGTGGCCGTACTCGTCGGTGAGGATGTCCTGGTAGCTGTAGGGGACGAGGGCCGGGACGCCCTCGAAGACGGTGGGCCGCAGGGGCCAGAGCTGGCGGGCGTCGTAGCGGTGGTAGTTCTTGCAGCTCCAGACGCCCGGGCGGGACTCCTCGCGCTCGCGGACGCCGGTGATGTCGATGAAGAGGCCGGTCTGCATGTCGATCCAGCGGGCGTCGATGACGTTGGCGCCGTCGCCGCGGGTGAGGTCCGAGTGGTGGGGGTTGACGTCGAGCAGGTAGGTCTTGGTGGCGGGCCGCTCGGCGCCGTCGACGAGGGAGGTGCCGTCGAAGGCGTGCTCGGTGCGGTTCATGTTGTCGCCGAGCCACTGGAGGGTGTCGTTGGAGACCTGGACGTCGAGGTCGTAGTCCCACGGCATGACCTGGCCGTTCCACCACCAGCCGAGGAGGGTGCCGTGGGCCAGCCACGTCTCGGCGCCGTGGGCGTCCAGGACGCCGAGGTAGGAGCGGATCAGGTCGCGCAGGACGAGGCGGTGCTCGTCGTAGGGCACCTCCTCCTTGAAGTAGCGGATGTCGTAGTGCAGGCGGGCGAGGCTGCCCGTGGGCTCCCAGAAGTACTTGGCCTGGGCTGCTATCCTCCTGGGCTCCAGGTGGCTTGGGGCTCCGGTGGCCAGCGCGGGCATTGCCTGGGCTACGGAGAAGAAGGCGAGGAGGGCCGTGAAGAGGGATGTAAGTGAAGCCATGGCGGTTGGAGGTGTGTTGGTAAGGTTTCCCCGGTTTATCTTTTTTATAGAATATCCCTTTTTTGAGTATAATATACAAGGAAAGAAAGAGAGGCGAGGTGTCGAGGACCGAGGAAGCGCCTACTGGCGCAGAAAGACACTTTGGTCGTTGTTGTTGGTTGGGATAGGTCCTTTGGTGGTGGGTTAGGTTATGAAGAAGAAAAGAAGCAATCCCACGAGCGGCAGGCTGAGTCCCAGGACCGGGAATAGTATTATATCAATACACCCATGGAAGAAACTGTGGGTAAGGGCATGGCTCTCTCTGGATGGGAGCAAGGACAAGTGAGGTTCCGCAGGGCCCAAGGACACGGCGGGTGTGTGCCGCGTAATCGGGTTTTGTGGGAGGGGAGGCTTGGGAACTGGGAGGGTTCGTCGATGGTCTGATAGCGGGCGCCGATGTGGGCTCGACGGGGGTAACGGCAGACGCAAGCCTATTCAGACAAGGGACTGGCAAGCTGGATAGGAGATGAGGGTAGATAGGTATGTCGAGGTGGGATATGTACGGAGCATGTTTCAAGGCTGGGGAGAGGTTATGCTGGCGGCATTGTGTGTTTGGGCCAGGAGAGTTGAGAGCGTCGAGCGAGATGAGGACAGGACAGGGCAAGCATCGATGAGAGATGGAGACGGGCCGGGGAAATGACGACGACGGCATTTGGGAGAAGAAGGGTGGAAGCACGGGAGCATTTACTGAGTCTGTGGGAAAAGATGGGGAACTCTCTCTGCTTCGTCTGTTGCAGAGTGGTTTGAGGCACTGCTACGGGGTTGCTTCAGCGCTGGTGCTGGGCCACCCCCCGGCAGTCCGCCAAGGGGCCAAGACGGTGGTGGTGTTGTGCGGCTGCCAGACTCTGAATGCACTGCACTTCACTGGGCATAGAGGACGACCAAAGTCCTGGCGCAGCTGACAGGAACATGCACGCATCATCGCCCGCACCAATTCATCATGGGGGTCGCGCCCAGCACAGGCACGGAGGCGCGAGGTGTGGCTGCCGGCCCGTGCGAGCACAAAATGTAGGTAGACAAGTATCAGAGCTACGAGATTGGAGCGACACGACATACGTCAGTCGCCGGCCGTTGTTGGTTGCTGCCGGGATCTGGTGGCGCCTATCCCAGTTCGGGGAATGGGTCGTGTGCACCTGGAGAATCCGCACACGGTGCCTCGTACTCCAATTGCTCTCCAATCTGCCCACGCCTACCCAAAGTACATACTGACAACTAGATAGGTATGCATGCCTCTGCTGCCGGTTTCCCAGGCTGTCCGAGACTTGTGCCTGCCGCCGTCGACGCCTACGTATGCCCTGTCGACCGATCCGCCGTTGGGTTTAGACTGCCGCCGCTGCAACAGACTCTGCCCCTCTCAGCCCATATGTACGATGCGCACGTTCCCTGGCCATGCCATGCCTGTCGCTCCCGGAGGATAGTGTGCTCACCTTCCCCTTTGATTCATGCATAACGGCCATCACACCGTGAGTTGCGTCGTCATCAGCCAATCTGCCCCCGTCCCCAACATTCGAGGAGAAAGCCAAGCCGGCGATCCAAGATTCAGACATCACCAAACCCTTGTCGCTGCGTCTTGGCAAAGCGGATGGCACGCCCAAAGGCCTCCTTGGCAAAGACTTGGCTTTCAGCTTGTCCCCAGGCGCCACAACCTAATCCTACTACACTCTGCCCTTCTTTGCCGGTCCATCCATCGGTGGTGCGCTAGAATGCGCGCGTGGTGCTGGGCCTGCCGTGTCCCGAGCTGGCCGAGTAAGCGCCCACCTTGCCTTCTCGCAGCACCTCTCCCGTTTCACCGATAATGGCTCGTTGGGTAATAATAGCCAGCCGCCATCGGCGCGAGGGGAGGACAACGCGCGTCCCTAGTGCATGGGGCCAAAATTGGCCGGTGCCGTGGGCGCCGTCCGAGGGCGAGATGTGCCTGCATGCGTAGTACAGGCGGAGGTCACCAAAAACATCGACTAGCAAGGGGACCTGAGGGCTAAAGGCGCAGGGTGAGCCGCCTAGTCGAGGCTTGTATGGGAATTGAGTAATTTTCCGGAATTGCATTACGATAACACACAAAGTCCCCCTGTGTCAGTGTGTTCATGAAGCTTGGGCTGTGACGCCTCGATCAGGATGTGTGGAGCGAGTCAATCAGTCAGCAGAAGCAGAGAATTATACGAGCGGTGAAATTCCGCCACTCGATATGGGGGAACAGTCTCTCATACATTGCTCGATGGGAAGCATATCGCGAACACAAGATAACACGAGAGTCGATGTGGCTACGTGGCATATGGCGCCAAAAATATTTCCTCACGGCTGTTTGACCTAGACTCTTGTCAACTCCCAAAATAAAACCCGAAAGATGATAACCAGAAAAAAAATCAAAAAAAGAAACCAGCTACTGCTGGTGGCGGACTCTCCCGCCGGGAATTGAACCCGGGTCTCAAGCGTGACAAGCTTGCATACTGACCACTATACTACGGAAGATGGGCGGCTGTTTCCAGCCGCTGTAGTAGAGGCGCTGTTGGGAACTCAGCCTACTTTTTGGATTAAGTAGTCTACCACTCGTAATGCTTCCAAATATGTTACCCTATAGCTGCACCATATCCGATGAGCCAAGTGCTATTGAACTCCAAAATGAATGGATAATCTAGAATGAGCTCTTGTTTTTTTTTTTTTCTTTCCTTTCTTGTGTCATTATCTACTGGTCTAGTTAAGCCCTGCATCTCTCAGCTTATGTGGTTCTTTCGTGTTGCCAAGGTTAGCCAAGAGAGCAGTTAATTAACACGTAAACTCGTGCATTCCCAGATGCATAAGATAAACGGAGGGGAAAGACTGTGCCTTCAGCCTGATAATCATAAACCCAACAAAACGAAAAGAACAACCTCTCAACCCTCATCTAAGATAATTATCCTGACGGTATACTGTCATCATGCTACATGTTCGGTATTCTGTCAAAGCAAAGGGTCGGTGACCGGTGTGCCACATTCATGTCATCAGTCAAACCAAATTGTCAAGACAGGCAAAAACATCAATTAAAAGATAAATACGCCGGGTATCGACGACTTTATATGAACACCTCCCCCCACATACACACTTACACATATGGACTATAAGCACATGCCGCCAGGACCGGAAGCTCGTCTGCCCCCCGTCTCTTCCCCTCCCATCCGACCCGGCACAGAATTCCCCAGCATCCTTCGCGAGCAACTTCGACAAGAGACAACAAAACACAAAGAGGGAACACCTGGAATCCCAACCCGCCCAAAAACGGGCCCGACCCAAAATGCTGTATCTGGTTTTTTTCCTCTCCCACCCCTCTTACAGTTCACAAAACAGGGACCTTTCCCGATTACCGCGCAAACACCTTGACGACGCCGTCGCCCCCTCCGCTCACCACCCACTTCCCGTCCTGGCTCCAGACGACGGAGCAGACCCCCTCGCCGCGCATCACGCGGTGGCTGGTCATCTCCTGCGTGCACGAGCGCTTCTCCAGGCTCCAGAACCGGAGGGACGCGTCGTGGCCCGCGCTGACGAGCTCCAGGCCGTCGGGGCTGAGTGACAGGCTCGAGATGGCGTCGGGGTGGGCCAGCATGTTATATGTACATTGCCCTGTAGACACGCGTGTTAGTTTTAATATACCAAGAAGTGACGTAAAAGATGAGTCCGCATACCGCTGTTAGCATCGAAGAATCGGACGAAGCGATCCTCGTGACCAGAGATGATTGTCCCCTCGATGCCGGACCCGGCCATTGAGGGGCCGCCTGTAGGGCCGCCGGCCCCGTTCTCCTCCTCGCCCAGGGTGCCGGCGTGGTGCTGGGCCTGATCCAGTCCGACCGTGGTGGCGACGACGGCGTTGACGCCAGTCTTGATGGATCCGTCGTACGTCTCCATGCTGTCCATGTTGCCGATCTGCTCACCAGTGCGGGTGTCGTACACGATGATGGCTGCGTCCGAGTAGGAGACGACAAACGATTCTCCGGTGGTGCCTAGGGGGGTGATGGAGGTCGGGCTTGCCTTGGACTCATCTGAACGCGTGATGCTGTGCACGAGCGTGTGGTTGAAGGGAGAGTTGGATGCCACCGTGGGCTGGGGCGTGTTGGAGAACCCGCTGCCGGAACTCATCGAGTTTCCTCGAACCCGGGATCCACGACCGCCTGCAGCACGAGCAGGCGCAGGTTGAGGGCTACTCAGCTGAGGGGGTGCGCTGACCGACCAGAGCCGTACGGTGCCGTCTGCAGCTCCGGACACGAGCAGGATGCGATCGGTGCTGCCGTGCTGGCTGGAGCTGCCAAATACCGAGCCCAGAGTCGCCGGCAGCACACAGAGTGCCCACACAGCATCAGTGTGGCCGTCGATTGTCGCCTTGGGGTCCACCCTGCCACGCTCCCACACTCGGATGGTGGAATCTCGACCGCCCGAGAAGATCCAGCCGTCACCTTGGGCACGACCTCCGGTGGCAAAGTTGGGAGAGGGGCACCACGAAGTGAGGGTCAAGACTGATCCAACGTGTCCCCGATGCGTGAAGTTTGCCGTCACGTCCAGGTCAGAGGCAGCGCCCGCGAGAACAGGGTTGTGTCCATCTAGGCGGGGGATATGGAACCTCTTGATCATGCCATCATCACCGGCAGTGCAGATCTCTGGCTCGCCGGGGCTGCCACCGCCTGAGAAGATGACAGTGCGGACGGTATCCAGGTGACCTCGGAGACCAAACCTGAGCTTGAAGCTGAACCCATCGGCTTTTTGGCCTGCCCCGATCCCGTTGTCATAGTCTGCACTCCTTCTCCTAGACATGGACGTCTTTCTCCTGTGCGAGCCTGGGCCCCGGCTGGGAGATTTTGGGAGGTTGTCGGCGTTGGGGAATACATCAGTATCGGGCCGGTTTGAGGTCGACTGTGGTTGGGCGTTCCCAGGTTCGGGAAATGTCCCCTCAGGAAACTCCCAGCCATCGGTTTCCGCAGTCACTGGAGGCGGATTTCCCTTGAAGTCGGCAGAATCATCCATCCCGGCAAGCGATTCCGCAGCCTGGGTGGCAGCGTCAGACGCGTTCCCGTCCACCTGTCGTGTTGTCACAGACACTGGGTTGTTCCAGTCGTTGGAGTTGTGGAATAGAGGTTGCTGGTGCTCGTTGGTAGACCGGACCATTGGCTGCGGCTGGAGGTCGGACTTGGGGTGGAAGTTCAAGGGAGCATGCTGCATAGGCTGGCCGTGTCCCTGAGGTTGCTGATGCTGCCTTGAATCCATCTCCCCGACGTGGTTCTGCGCCGGCCGTTGATGGAGGGGGTATTGGCGTTCCATCGGCTGCGGCCCAGGCATCCCAAACGCTTCCACCTCACGTAGATCCTCCATGATCGGTAGCGGGGGCGATTCGCGAGGCGGGTGTGGGTTCGCTGGAGTGATCATTAGATACATGAACTCCGACTGGCACTGGTCCAGGAACGTCTTGAGCTCGTGCCGCTGGGTTTCGTCATCGGCCTTCTCAGCCTCGACGCCGTCGACGCCCGGTATCGCTTGTTTCTGTAGGCTTGCCGCAGCTGTGACATAGGTTAGCAGTTGCGTGCTGGCAATCGTGATGCGGGGCCTGGCGCCATCTTACATGCGAGTTTCTCTTGGATCTTTGCAGCGCGGTCATTGTGCTCGTCATCGGCGGCGTCGGTCGCCCCAGAGCCCTTGAGCTGCGTGGCCTGATCCTTCACCTTCTTCTCCAAGATGGAAACGTACTTGCGCAGAGCCCGCTGTGTGGCATCGGCGCGGCGCGCCTGGCCTTCGAGATTTGCTATCCGCCCTCTCATCTCCTGCTTCTCGATCTCCCACGAGTTCCTATCCCGCTCGTGTCGGTGCCATTCGGTCTGTAGAAAGCGCATGACGCCCTGGAGGGTGTATTCAGTGGCGGGTGGCTGATTGGGGCCATGGCCCTGCATGTGCATGCCCATTTCCATCCCTCCCATGCCGTTGCCAACGTTCGGGCCCATAACGGCACGCCTGGACAACGATAATCAATTGGGCGAGCTCATCGAGGGAAGAGAGTCCAGGCTGAGGCGAAAGGAGCACGCGGAGGGGGGTCGACGAAGCGGTCGGAGGGTCGTCAGACGGGTCGTGGATGGGGGAGCTGCTTGAATCTAAAGGTTCCGCTCAAGTGAGTGTAGCGCGGGTTCGCTCGACGTCTCTATTCGCCTCTTCGTTTATGCACGGCGTGGGGGTTATGCTGGTCGTCTGCTGTGAGCTCAAGCTGTTTAGGCTCGATCTTGTCCAACAGCTGTGTTGGCGCCGTGTCCAATTTCTCGGCCAATCAGCACGCGTTGTGGGGGTGAGGCTACAAGGCATCAACGCCTGAGCGCCGTTTCTTAGCTCAGCAGGTTAAATCAGTACCAAATTCCAGCAGAAGAGTCAACCATTATTCGGTGCCATGAGAATACACCTGTTTACTCATTAATAGACCAGTCAATAAAATCAGTTGTGAGAATGAAGACACTTGATCAAGTTGTATAAAGTAATGCGCTGAGCACACGCACTTGGAGTGTCCTTGCTCCAAGTCTTGCCTACGATCACCTAGTCCCGCCCGCTACCCTGGACCCCAAGCAACCCTGTTGAGCAGCCGTTTCAGGGATGCGGACCGACGATTGTTCCAGTCGGACCACCATCTCGTTGTAGTTTACTTTCTTTCTTTGGAAATATGATTTGTCTGCCCCTGATGTAGGGAAGTGGATGCTAACGAATAGGGAGGTAGAGACAGAGCAAAGCACTGCGGCATTTGTCGAAGTTCTGTGAACCAGACAAATGTGATAGATCTTCAAGCGGTTGATCTCTATCAGACGCATCCTGATCACATGGCCTGATAGAAAGTGAGTTTGTGGGTTGGGGTTTTGCTGGTTGGCCCACCTCTCTGGGGTCTCCATATTTGCTATCCGCCTCCCGAGAAAGCTTCATTCTCCTTCCCAGAGCAGTGCCGGCAAACTCATTCTCTGTTGCCAAAGACAGTCCCATGTGCAGCTACTTGGGCAGCGTTACAGCTCAGCCACGACTCTCCCAACTAATCTCGTGCTTCCAGTCGAGTGTAGGGGCGTGAACGAGAGATCACTTGCCAACGAAACGAGGTTCTCCTATAATCGGTTTGGAATCATTGTTGTTGGAGAGTGGGTGTACACTACTCCATACCCGGGCGGCCGGAATGACACTGCTTCACCCTCGTTCGTGCTGGTTCGGAGGATTGAGGGGTGAAAAGTGACAGGTAACATGCCGTCTTCAGCCCAGGCAACCTTCTGGATGACTCAACTTGCAAGTCCGCCAACGACTCATGATTGCCCTCATGCGAAATCCCACCAGCTCAGCAACTGGGTTTCCAGTACCGAGCCAAGTGGGCAGGAATACGGAACGTGATTTATGCTTTCGTTTGAGGGACAAATCACTCTAAAAAAAGCATTCACTATGGGGTACTTTTCCACATGTTAGTAGCCCACGTGCCCTGGGCTGCGGATTCACCCGACGCGACTCCATTTTCGTCGCTCCCCTTCACCAGAAGAATATTGGAGTAAGCCCCATGCTGGAGTCGCATCGAATTTCCTGCAACTTTTGCTTGATCCCTGATGCTTGAAGACCCTCTACCTCATCAAACCGTAAACAGAATGGATTGGGATGCCAAGAACCCGGTGTCGTGTGCCATTGATACGTTTTGGGCCGACTCAAGGGCATTTAGTCAGCGATCCCATCGACAATTCAGCTTCTAATATTTGGGTGACTGCTACCTTATGATCAGAATTGTAGGATGCATCAAGCCAATTGCCCACTGAGCTCTCTTTTCGGGTTGCATTCACGGGTTGCATTCACGGGTTGCAGCCCACCTCCCATACGGATCAAGCAGCATCAAGCGGCGCCACTATGCAAACTTTACTAACCTTCTGTGATATTGTTCGGCGGTAGTTGAGTGGACCGAACTAAGAATATGTATTATGCCATTATTGATTGGTTGAAGGCTCCTGCACTACCACACGCGATGAGGTTGTCGTGTTTCGCGCCTATCCTCATTGTGTGATGGGCATGATCAGGTTGCTCGAGGATGGTAGTGGGATCTTCTGGCATGCCTGCATGACACACTGGTGAAATTTATCTGCAATTGAAGCTGCTATCACATCGAAAGCCCGACACACATGCGAAAGTGGTGTGGAAGATTACAATGCACTGCACGTGACCCTGTGTCGGCGAACATCCCGGAGCTGGGTTGATCTAAAGAATCTTCGATTCTTGGTTCAGAGACACTCTCTTTCCCTTGTATCTCGGGACACAACGAACCTGCGGGTTCTGTTCGGTTTTCATGTCTTACGGTTTGTGCTAAAGTGCTACCGGACAAGGACCAATGAAGCCCCGGCTGAGGTAGCGTTCTGTGTGCAAGGGCAAAAAAAACTTTTATGGTATGGTCAAGAAGTTTTGGGCAAGCGAGCACGTGGGCTGGTTATATCAAATAGGATGTTGCTGCACGGTTGCTGTCCTGTCGCGACGTACTGGACCCCCTTCTGCCCACCAGATACTTGGCACAGTACGAGTGGGTTGGTTGATGGATTGGTAATGCCCTTGACATCTTCGTGCTCGAATTTCAGCAAGCAAGAGTTGTGGTTGGAGCGAACCGGCTTGGATACAGATCTCCCCGGGCAGCCGCAATTCTCCACCCATCGAGCTGGCTTTCCTTGAAAGGTCCTAAGGCGAGTATTGCTATGCACGAAACTACCTCTCTTTGTAGTGGGGTGATCCGATAGGGACAGGCCTGCTGGAGCAATGTAGTCTCCTGATGGCCTGGTTCCCAGTCAAGCGTAAATGCTCCAGCCATCGGCCTTGCGAAAAAGATAAGGCGCCTCCCGTGAGTCTGGAGCCGAGAGCAAGCTGTCGGGCTGACGAGATGTCATGCTGGTTGCGTGGGTGGTGGTCTTGGAGCAGTTCCGTGTGCGTCTTCAGCGTGACTCTGGTAGCGGGAAGTGGATTGATTGGGCCTGCAGCTGCAGGGAATGTTCGAAGAAAGAGCCTGTGACGAAATAAGGGTCCCAGCTGTCCCTGTACGATGCTGTAAAAGGGGCCATGAAGTAAAGCTTGGGGAGCAACTGGATGACGGCGGGCGCCGAAAGGCAAGCCATTGAGGACGAGTAGTACTTGCGGTACAGTGCGAATAAATGTATGGGGGCTGGAGTAGGTAGACCAGGTGCTTGGAATTGGCTGGGAGGGGCTCGTCGACTTGTGAAACTTGGCACATCAGTCTGTTGGCGGTTGGCCGATCGAGTGATGACTCTGATGAGGAGTACATTAGCCCATGATCGGATGGTCGGGGCTGTTTTGTGTTTTGTCCGGCGCGAGGAGAGAGAAAGAACAACCACCTGGCCGGAGCACGAGGGCAGGAGCGAGGGCCGAGTGCAATTGTGTACAGGGCTCCTCTGTCCGTGTAGGCGCGGTAGCCAACGCCTGTGCTTCCAGTACTGGCCACTCTATTTACGACCAATGTGTCGAGTCTGTATGCATTGCAGATGCAGGCAAACGGGATGCATCCTCTCTCCATTACTTACCTGCCTGGGTAGGAGCTAGCAGGCCGTACTACATTGACCGAGTGACACCTGCCATCCCATCTCACCAGCGCCTGTGCTGTGGCAAGGGACCTGACCTGGCTTGTTCAGCTACGAATTCATTCTCCACCTGCTCTAGGAGCCTCCGTGACCCCGCCCAATCCCATGGATCTCAACTGGATCTCCTGTTTTCCCTCTCTCGTACTCCTGCGACTGAGGAATGCAAAACCTCTCGTGGCCCAGGCCGTTGAACAACTGTTAATGGCATGTTCGTCACGCAATCAGGGTGGCTGTGAGTCTTGGGTGAGCCCGCCACATTCACTTGCTGCGGAGATAATTCCTTCCAATCTGCGTGTGCCACAGCAGATGGACTTGGAGATGATCAGTCATGGCCCAGAAGCCTTACGTATGTAGACGGTGACTGCCCAGTAGTAGATGGACAACGAATGCAAGGCGTGTGCAGTGCGCCTCGAGGTACATGCACTCCAATCTGCGAGGCCCCTTGGCGGGGATACAAGGTGTTACGCACAGGATGCACCAACAAGGAGCAGGATCTGCCGTGCTTTGCGTAATGGGTGTGGGATGGGCAAGGCTCTCCGGCAGGCTGGCAGCCTTTGAACGATGCACATTCCCGCCTGGTCCACACAGCTCGCTTTTGGTTTCGGAACCGGACGAGGTCTGGAGTGCCTAGTCTCAAGCCACCGAGGTAGGACGGGTCTCAATAGCTCATTCTGGAGCGTGTCCTGGTTTGAGAGCGAAAAGGAGCCCGCCAAGATTCATCAGTCGATTCAGGACGGACAAGAGCGGTTTTTTGCCCTCCCTTGGCTGCTCATGCTTAGCTCGCGGGTCCTGTCCAGGACCACGACTGGGGTGCTTTCTGCCAGCAGTGGAGATCTGCGTCCAGAGATGAGTCGCACAGTCTCGCGGACTGTGGATGCGGCCAGCTTCCACGTGAATGTCCTCACCAATACGAACAAGGGGATTATCTACATACCTTTCTGCATCTGGCCGGACAATACGACACGCGTTGGGCAAGCTCGCAGATATGTCGGATTTACCCGGGGAAAGACATGTTCCTGGCAGTTTGAGACCAAGTGGTCGGTTCAGTCGATGGCTGACCTGGCAGCTGACCAGCTCCCCCACGGCGTCATCTGCAGAGCGAGACGAAAGCAGAAAAATTAGATTTGTGCTAGTGCTGAAGCCCCGGGCGACGATACCACTGTGGATGTTGCTTGTCGTGTCACTCAAAGCAGCCCTGGCGGTGCGCAGAGTTCGGGGATGGACCATGATTCTTCCCGTGATAAACGAGCACCAACACACTTTGAGCCAAGTCGTCTCTGGCGGTACTTTGGCTTCGGTTCTGTCCAAGATGCAGCGGTGGCGCTGGTGGGCGCTAAGCAAGCGGAAGTATCGGCGTCCAGGTGCCCTTATTTAGTGATGACTAACCCGAAACTGTGACTTTAATTTTTAGGAGCTTGGAACCTTGACCCGAGCGCGAAACCTTGAGCACTGTGCCCGAGGTACCTGCCGCCAGTTGTAGTACATATTCGCCCTGCTGGAGCCTGGGCCCGGCCCCCAGCTCGCACCGCACCGCCCACTTTCCTGGCTGCATCCTTGCCGGCCCTCCCTTGGACCCCAGACCAGACACAAGCATCTCGGTTCGCTTACATTGTCAATTTTCCCAGACTCAGCCTGGCTATTTCATCCGTCACCTGCCTCCCTCCCCCACGTGTCTCAGATCAACGTCTGCTTCTTCCCGATCATTGAATATTAATACTCCCACGTATATACCGGACAAGATGGCCTACCTCACCATTTGTTCCAGAGCCCGCCTCTGCCTCTTGTAGGCCCGAGCCCACGGTTCCCGTGCACGCGAGCAACTGCCATATTCTGTGGCCATTGCTCTTCCGAAGCCCTATCTCGACTCAACTCGATTGCTTTCACGACTTCACCACTTTGTTCCGTCACCCGAACCGTTGTTATTTCTTTGCTTCACCTACCCCGTTGCGTCCTGCTTCTAGCTTGTGCTAGGTGGTTGAACGCGCTCCTCCCACCACGACCATGACACCAATTGCCCTGCAAAACCCCGACCATTTTCCTTATTTCGACGAGGATACGATGGCTTCCAAACGAAACTCCCGCGTCTTCACCGAAGAGACTTCTGCTCACGAACAGAACCGGTCCATGGCCCAGCAGAAACAACAGGCGTCAGCATACCGATCGAGACGCAATTCTAAAAGCTCCAGCAAAGACGAGCTCTCTGCACTCGCTGAGACAATCGGGGACGCGGAATCCGGCCGTACCCCCAGTACCGATTCAGATCTGCCTTCGCGTTCGCATGGTGGTGTGGTAGCCACTGTCAAGGGCCTCTCTGCAGAGGTCCTGACACCTGGAGATGGCAAGGGTAAGTTGGCCCAGCTACTCCTATGATCTCATGACGATGACTGACAGTTTTCCCCCTCCAGTGATTGTGGAATGCAAGGTTACCCGCAAAGAATCTGAGGATTTCTCATCGCCACCTCTTGCTGGGAGACCCCACAACTTTGGCATGGTAATTCCTGGCGTTTATCGTAGCAGTTATCCCAAGGCACAAGACTTTGAATATCTGCGAGGCCTGAAGCTGAAGACTTTGGTGTACGTTCCCCTCATCGAGCGCGAATAACGGCTATCCTAACGCGTTCATCTAGGACTCTGGTGAAGAAGGATGAGATTGATCAAGATCTCGTTTCCTTTGCTGCCAGCAACGACATCCACCAAGTCGTTTTCAACATGAAAGGCACCAAGAAGGAGTCCATCCCTATTCAAACGATGAAGTCCATCCTCGAGGTTGTTCTTGACCGCCGGAATCACCCTCTTTTGATCCACTGCAACCAGGGCAAGCACCGCACAGGCTGTGTGGTTGCTGTCGTTCGCAAGGTTGCAGGGTGGAACGCTTCCAGCGTTCTTGACGAGTACCGCGCCTTTGCTGAACCCAAAATCCGCGAGTCCGATGTTGAGTACATCCGAAATTTCGAGATTTCAGCATTGCATCCTCTGGCAACCGAGCACCATTCTCGATATACCCCCATCCAGGTCCGCAGTTTCCGCCGGACCTTGGTTTTCTCGACGATCATCATGCTCTTGTGGGTTGTGTCGGGAACTCAACTGCTTTCAACACGCAAGGAACTGACCAGCTGAGACGTGGGTTCCTTCTCCGATTGTGAGGCACTCTAGGCTCCTTGCTTTTAATCGTATAGCACATGCTGGTGTTCCGAAAGCAATCATGAGC